AAAGAGGGATTAAGAAAATAATCATTAGATTTCGATTCATAAGACCAATCCCCAAAAATTAAAGCTTGATCAGATTCTCAGCTTTTACCGACGGCACCGATGATTCTTATTTTATTTTTTTATGATTCGTTTATCTGTATCTGCAGACTTCAGTTTTGTAGAAGGAATGATATTTTGCAACATTTTTATTTTTCCCTTCAAAGCTAGCTAATTAAGAATTTTTACTGAAATAAATCTATTTATTGCTTCTACAACGAGACATGCTTGGAAAAGAGACTTATGTGAAAGAGGTTAAGTAATTTATTTATATTTCTCCAAAAAAAGTAATTTTAATTTTGTATAATTATGGTTCAGAAAAATAAGTTGAACAAACAAAAACACGTTACACGTTTCTGATGGAGAATCCAGTTCAGAACTTATAGTCTGATTGGCGCTGATGCTAATTAGTTTCGTACAGTGGCCACCAAATTAATAACAACCAACATATGCATGTTAAGAAAAAAAAATCTTAAACTTTATTCAAAAGGGCTGTATTTTTCTATAGAAATTTAAACTATTTTGAAGAATGTAATTTATCATACGGATATTTTTCCTAATTTATTTACAACAATTTGAAAACTTCTCAAAAAAATATCATACGGATGGTGTCATGGACTCATGGTGATGTTAAATTAACATACACGCTGAATGTATTAATACATTTGTCTCAAGTTTGTATACTTACAAAACAATTCTGTTATATTTCATGTTTTTATTAGATAAATTTTCCGGCATTGGAATATATTCTGTTAAGTGTTAAATCGCGATCAATATACCGACCAAAGAAAAATCGCGATCAATAATGAAAGACTAGTAAAATCGGATTTTGGCTCTATTGTAAATGTATTTAATTTTTTATTGAATAAAGTTCTTTTCTGACCAAAGGAAATCTGACTGTAATAAAGGATTATTAATGCTAAAAAAAAGAAAGATTATTAATGTTTTTACCAAAAAAAAAAAAAGATTATTAATGCTTTAATGCTTTGATTATTATCAAACATGCACTAAATTTCGAAACTATTATGTTTCTGTTAAAATCATGTTTTTTTTAATTTAGCAAAAAAAATTATATCAATGGGTATATCCGACGGATTGAAATTCAACTGACTAATCCTTAGAGATCTGTCCACAAACACCTGATATATTCACTTACTCGCAAAGAAAATTAAATATCCCAGCTATTTTATCACATGGATATATCCAGTTACTCGCAAAAAAAAATATCTCAGCTGTTTTATCACATGGATAGGTAATCTAAGTGTTAGATTTCGAATCCAGATTCCTTAAGGATTTTAGAGCTGTTTTCACCATCCGACTGCATCCGCCTGGTTTGGTAAAATCATGGCTAAAATAGAACTTGTGTGTTTGTGTTACGTCACGAAAATGATTGTTTGCCAAGGTTTCATATTTTGCTCACACATAGTAACTTAAGCAATGTGTTGAAATATGTATTTTCTTAAGTAACTTGGAAAGAATGCAGATCTGAGAACACTTGAGAGACTCCTCTGAAGTGGATCACATACTTCAGCATATTTTGTAGCGGTACCATATATCTTTCTGCCACATTATATGTTGTCGTGGACATTTCTGGACTATGCCTTTATATATGTTTATTGGGTCTAGAGTCTAGACTCAAGACCAGGCATTGTTGAGTTGTTATATAGATCAATTAGTTTTGTTACTGTTTTCAATTAAATGGATTTATTATATTAATTTAATATTATACGAAATCTGACTGGATTCACTATAAGAATTGAGATTAGATTCCCTCATCTCTACAAACAACCAAGAGAATCTGCCAATCAATCCCAACTTTTCTTTCCTTCAAAAATATGTATACAACTTTTTTGTTAAAGGGTTAAAAATATGTATACATACATTGAGACCTCTATAAATTAATAATGTTGGGACTACACAAAAATTTTATTTTTTTATTAATTTAAAGAAATATTAATTTATAGATATACTAATTGAACCAAAAACTCAATTTGAAACTATAAAATTATATTAATTTATAGAGATATTTAGTATATATTAATTTATCGAGTATTAATTTATAGAGGTTCTACTGTATATGTTTATAGAACTTTGCAAAAGCATAAACAAATTTAATGTTTAATTTATATATATTTATACCCTTTTTAAAAACTATATATATTTATAATTAGCTAGGCAATATTTTAATACATGACTTACCAGATATATGTTTTGAATCAGTTATCCGATTCGTATTTACTTATTAAATAATGTAATTGTTTTCTTATCGTATAACATGTACAAATAATATTCTTAACTATTTATGACCTGCCAATTACCCTAACACGTATCATATTTTTTAATCTTTCTCTTTTAAATTTTATAATGATGCTTTCTTAAGGTGTTTTTTCTTTTAAATTTCAAGTTTCATTTCGGGAGAGTAGAATTTGGCTATCTTTGACAGTGATAGTGTTGTCTAATCTTTAATTTTGGACTTATCGAATACGATCAAATAAATTTTCTTACTCTAACTGATCTGTTTGAATAAGAGATATCCTGAAAATTGTGAAAATTTGAATTTTTTTTCTTCTCTTTTTGTGAAAAATTAAACCGTTCTATCTTTTTTTTTTTAATTTTGTCGGTAGATGTTCAACTAGTTTTTTGTATGTATTAAAAGCTTGATCTGAAAATAAGATTTTTGCGGAGGAAAATAAATTCTTTCAAAATATATGTGGTTTAGCATTTAGAGTATTAATCTTTCAAAGAAGATGCACAAGTTTTTCAACAATATATAAATATGATGACGACAAAATGTTCCTACCCAACACAAGGAAATCAAACTATGCAACAGTAAACTTTTTGCTATTACATAGTTGAGTAACTCATGATTCACGAGCATCATGAATACATCGACCCATAGCAGCTTAATATATTTGTAAACATACGACATGCGTACATCGGTAAAGTCTATATTATTTACGTTTCGTCGATATCGGTACACTATAAAGATATTATTCGTCTGAAATACAGTAGACATATATTTTAGGGAAATAATTTATTTTGGATAAGTTCTATTGTTGATCTGATTGGTCCGGAAGAAACACAGTTAGTGTTAAAGAGTGAATTAATCCAAAAATATACCACACTATCTAGTTCGAGTTTAGAATATTTTCCTACTAATGATAGAAGACGAATTACGACCGATCATATTAATCATCAGCCGAAATCTAAACCAAAACTATATTATAAAGAAAATTCCATAAATAGTCTAAATTTTAGTAAGTTTTTGATATGCGTTTTTTTTTTTGCTATCAATTTTAATATATCAACTAGTTATTCTATTTTAATACACAAAACTGTAAAACTACATCTTTTTTATTACTCAATCTCTTTAACTGAAAATACTAATAAATTCATACAAAATTTTAAAATTATTTAAGAAAAATGTTAAAATTTCTAATTTTATATTAAGATTTAGGAAAGAAGGTAAATAAATTAGAGAGAAAATTTTAAAGTTTTACTGTGAAGAATCAGAAAATAAACTAAATTCAATTAAATTTTAAATTTTATTATTAAATTTAAGATTATTCAAAATTTAGTTATTTTTATTTCTCAAACAGAAAATAAATTATAATTTTCTGAGATTGTTTGTAAATCTTAGAGATTTTTAAATTTTGTTCGAAATGTATTAGTATTTTAATTAAATAAATAAAATATAAGTATTAATATATGTGTAATTATAATCTTTATATATTAAAATAAGTAAAGTAATTAATTGAATATTAAATTAAATAGAGAAAAAATAGATATTAAAAAGCTTAACAAAATTTAATTAGAGTATTTCTATCGAATGTTTACTATATTATATAGATACAAGTATGGTGGGGGGCAACACTACCGAAGAGCAAGTCAAGATACATATGAAACACAACACAACAAACCTTCCACTTTTTCTTTACCCTTCTTTCTAGGAGCGATTCTTGTATTTGTACACCCTTCATTATAAAACGCATCACTATCTATCCTGGAATATATTATTATACAATCTGTGTGGTAGATACAGCTCATTATTAAATTAAATCAATAGGTACAAGAAAGCCTGTATGATACTAAATACACGATAAAACTCGAATCATGAAGATACTATACATTGTTTTTTTTTTTTTTGAGCAAAGATACTATACATTGTTAAAACTTAAAATTGATCCATTCCCAGATTGTTCAACCATCAAATGTATAAAAAATGTTATATATAATAAGGCTGCGAATTTTACGATCGAGAAAATCTTAAAGGCCATGTCGACACCAATAGAGAGCCTCACCTAATCATATATAACAAACACACACTTTTTTTTTTTTTTTTGAACACATAACAAACACACACAAAAGACCATTTATTCGTAAGAATAATAAACAAAAGAGGAAAGTAACGTTAGGACCATGTTGAAAATAGAACAGAAAACGGTAAGAAAAATTGCAAACAAAGAAAAGAATAGGTATGCAATACGATATATGTCCATTAAGATAGATCGATGTACATACGACCAAAAACGAAATGTACAAGACCTCTTTTTATATGAGCTAATTGCATCACATATCTCAGAAAAAGTAACACGAAATTACAAAAGGCAAACATATGGCAAAAAAAAAAAAGAACAAAGCGGTGTGAAATCGGGGAAATGATCGAAAAAGAGGAGAAAAACATTAATTAATAATAAAAATCTAAAGAAAGAAAGAGGAAAGGGTCAAGAGAGCATATATTCCCTTCTCCAACAGAACCCCACTCATGTTTCCTGATATGGAGTGAGAGAAGAAAGATAGAGGACAATATCAACCACTCCAAGGATTTACATATACATATATTCCATATCTTTGCAACCAAACCCAACAATCTTTGAAAACAAATAACCCTTTCGTTTTTATTTATATTTCTTGGGGTCGTTCTTGATTGTATACTAGAGAGAGAGTTTTGTATGTGTTTATTAATGGAGAACAATACTACTGATGGTAATAATCAGAAGATAAAGATGAGTCTTGTGTTGTCAACAGATGCTAAGCCTAGATTGAAATGGACTTCTGAGCTTCATCACAGATTCATTGAAGCCGTTAATCAACTCGGTGGACCAAACAGTATGTACTTAATGTTTTCATCTTCTTCTAACGTTAAGTTTTTATCTTCATTATCCATTTCTTGATTGATTTTTTGGTTTGTTCTGTTTTGTGTGCTGCAGAGGCAACACCTAAGGGTTTGATGAAGGCTATGGAGATTCCTGGCCTTACTTTGTATCATCTCAAGAGCCATTTACAAGTAATTAATGTTCAGAAGAATATATCTGACTAGATCAGTGGTTTTAGGTTTAAGATTTTTTTTTTTTCTCTGGAAGATCAAGTTTGGATGATTTTATTTTGATTTTTCTGCAGAAATATCGACTAGGAAAGAGCCTGAAGTTTGATGATAACAAGCTCGAAGGTTTGAGATTCCTTTTCTTATCATAAATAACATTGATCATGCTTTTCTAAAATTTATGGATTTAATATGATTTTTTTCTTATTTATGATTTTCTGGTCTAGCAGTTTCCTCTGCTTCAGAAACCCAAGAAGCTGAGAGTAAAAACAACTCTACAGATATCAGAGGCAGTATCAACGTAGAAAAAAACAATCCAGCTAACGAGTAATTAATGATCAGATAATCAAAAAAATTATATCTTCAATAGATAGACTATTTCCATAAATTTAATATTACTTGTTTGGTTTGTTTTGAAGCAGAGGCGTGCAGATCACGGAAGCTTTACAATTGCAGATGGAAGTTCAGAAGAAACTTCATGAACAAATCGAAGTAATAGCTTTAATCAAAGATTCTAATAACTTTAATTAATTAGCCCAGTAATTTCTGTTTAGGGTCTTGAAAAATGTTTTGGTTTTAGGTTCAGAGGCATTTACAAGTGAAGATTGAGGCACAAGGCAAGTATTTACAGTCAGTTTTACTGAAAGCTCAACAAACTCTCGCTGGCTACACATCTTCCACTCTTGGCATGGACTTTGCGAGAACCGAACTCTCTAGACTAGCTTCAATGGTGAATCAGAGTTCTTCGTTCTCGGAGCTAACACAAGTGGAAGAATGCGAAGAAGAAGGTTTCTTGTGGTGCAAGAAACCAGAAAACAGAGGAATTACACAGCCTAGAGGTTCAGTTGAAAGCTCGTTGACATCTTCGGAGAGCTCAGAGACAAAACTGAATAACAATAAAGACGAGAGGATATCGGTGGAGCTTCCGTTGATGGAGATCAAATCAGAAGTGCTGACAGAGAAGAATAAGAAGAGAAGCTTAAACGACATCGTTTGCGTGGAACTTCAGCCTCCAAAGAAGATAAATTTTGAAGCTGATGATGAGGAGGAGCACCTGAGGTTGAGTTTGAATAGTTACAAGAAAGACATGGGGACGTGTCCGAACATAAGACTAGGGTTTAATTGAGAAAAATGTAAACATTTTAATATTATAAATGTTTTTAAAAAGTCCTATGTATCTGCGTAGATTTCCATTTATAATATAAAGTAGAGATTTTGTGAGCAAGTCGGGGTGAAGAAAGAACGCATGGGAATATTCTATATGAGTCAACATGATTAATATAACTACTATATAGAAAAATGCGTGATATGTGTGTATAGATTAGGTGAGGAGGCTTGTGGATGTGGTAAAGGCGGATTTGGGGGTAACTTTTTATGATCAATTTAAAGAAGCAAAATGATTAAATTACAGTGAGCTTTTATCATTATGTTCCGACCATGAGAAGCATGTTGGCTTCTCAGTGGTTGTTTTATGACAAGACAAACCAAATGTATACATGAATATATCTTAGGAGAAGGTGGGTAGTACGTGTTACTATGCATACCATAGAGGAAAGAGAGTCACGTGTTCATGGAAACGAGGCTTAATTAGGCTTATCAAGTTTAATTTGTTTCGCAAATGAATGTGGTTTTATCTATAACCCCACAAGGGTTCCGGTTTTCTTAAATTACTAGGATAAGACCCGCTCCTTGCGCGAGATGAAGCTATTATTTTTATTATGTTTTTAAAAATGAAACACTAGTTCGGTTTCATTCGGATTAAAGGTGTTCAATCCGGATATCGGGTTTCGGTTCGGCTCGATTTTTTGGTATACGATCATTAAAATATAACTACTATTTTAAATCTATATGTACTTTAGTTTGATTTGGTTTATATACCATCGGTTTCGGTTTATTCAATTTTATACCAAAAAACAATATAATTATTTAGTTTGAGATCATATTATATAATATACAAATATATAATATGATCATATTTAGAGTCATATTGTCACAGAGTCATTTATTAAAAAAATATTATATATTTAAATAAAAGAATAAAAAACAAAAAGGGCTTCTATCATCTAATAAAATGATCAAATCTAGAATTAATATCAAAACACTAAATTTTGAAAAAAAAAATAAAAAAAAAAACAGAAGCATGAAAGAAAAGTTTTTATATTCTTCCATATTTAGTGTTCATCAAACCAATATGTCTTCGATTGAACACAACTCTGTTTGTTTAAAGATAAAAAAAAGTTATAAAAAATTTCAACTAATTGTTGTCCATCAAATTTATAATCTTTACTTCAATTTAGTTACTGTTAAAAAAGCAAAAAATCAAAATAAGAAGTCTTAGTTGTAATAAATTGTTAGCTATTTACAAATTATAATCATAGTTCAACTCATGTAACAAATAGAATATTCATGCGTCGTTATAAATATATACATATTTACATGTTTCAGTTTAATCGATTATAAATCAAACCATATCCAAATCCTATGGTTTTTATAAAATCACATCCATCCGATATGTATGGTATATACCAAAAATAACCATATTATGGATTGTTAATATCTTTTAAAAATATAAAATTAAAAAAAGAACTAAGATATTTAAATCATTGATAACAAAAAAAATTTCAATGTGAAAAATTTAATAAGTTTATAATTTATAAATGTTCTTGAAAATTTATTGAAAATTTGAAATTAAAATATTTATGTAATCTTATATGGTATAATATGTATATATATATTTGTTTTATTATTGAATGATACTTTTTACTTATATGGTTTTAAAATCATGTATATCTTTTTATAACAAAATGTTAAACTATTGATCATTAATTTTTAAGATAATGATTTTAATAGTTTAGTTATTTATTCTCGTTTCTTAAAATTCAAAATATAATCTATACGAAAAAATCTAAAGTTTAATTTTATAGCTAATTTGATTGTTTAATTTATTTTGTAATATAAAATTAAAGAAAAATGATGGAAGATATATAAACTGTTATCAAATATTTATTATTAGAATCATTTAGTGTCATATATATATATATATATTAGTCATTTATGGTAATTCCGTAGGTTTTATTTATGGAAATAAAATAAAATAGTAATTATATCTTAGGGAACAATCATTAAGTGTCATATATATATATATATATATATATATATATATATATATATATATATTAGTCATTTATGGTAATTCTGTAGGTTTTATTTATGGAAAGAAAATAGCATATCATATCATTATATCATATAGTTTGACTAACTAATGTATCTAGCAACCTATAAAAATCTAATATGGACTTATTTATTTTTCAATTGAATCTAATTCACTACCTAATTGAATGACACCTATGCATTGGGCCCTCTTTTAATTAATACAAAATTGAAGTTACATTTTTTCAAATGTTTTTCAATTAATATATAGGGGATTCACAAGTTTCTTAAAAAATTCACCAGTTTTGAAAATGAACAATATTTTTATAACCTTTTACGTGTTAATCCCTTAAAACACTGTTAATTTTCTTGTGGTGGCTAACTTTTTGGTTATATGAATATTTTTTTTCTTTATGTGAGCATATATATAAAAAACAATTCAACAGGGTCATCGAATATTTTGAGAGAGTGAGATAGAACGTTTTTTCATTGTCTCATCCAAGCATATGTATTTAAGAAACCCGTGATATCTATATAGCCAAAATTTTATTTTGTCTAAATGCAATTATTTTACCTTCCCATTGTTCTACGTAAATGTGAAAACGTTCTTGGTATCTTTAAATTACAGCGCCAATATATGCAGTGTGATGGCCGGTTTGGATGAAACCTTCTAACAAAATTCATGAATAAATATTGTAAAGCTGGTTAGCTAATTTCAGATAATGTTTGAGTTAATAGAAGAAAACAGGTGATAAAAAAATTGGATTTAAAACAGATATTGATAACTGATAAGGCAATAGAAACACCATTTTTTTTTTTTTTGCCAATCAAATATTTTACAAATCAGTGATACATGATTTACAGAAACCTATAGATTTCCTCATCAAACTTTGTTTAGGAGTAAGCAAAGCATTAATGTTATATAATCAGTTGTACTTGATTGATGTAAACCGAGACTGTCTAATGTGCACATGATACCACCACATATACGCATCCTATGTAGTCGTGGAATGGATCCAACTTTAGAGATGTTCTGCTCACATGTTATATGTTTGACTTATTCGAGTTTACCCCAAAAATATGTCTACAGAGGAAATAAAAGTAACAATTATGGTAAAAGCTAATTTCATGTTTTTCATATCACATGGATTCGGTAAATAATACTCTTTCACACTCGGCCCAATATATCTATAGGCCCGTTTTTTCAGTATCATTAAATTGGCAAACCTGATAGCAGTGTTTTCCAAACATGGGACTTAAAGATAAGTTAAAAATGGACTACAATCTAGTTCATACTTAGAAACTAGGAATATTGTGACCTAGCCAGATCGGTAAGACTATTGTTATTATTTGTTTGTTAATTTAGCAGTTAACCCTAGGTCGGTCCATAGTTCAACTCGGTTACGACCAGACTAAATCAAGATCGGAATACGACTCGATCTGTTGTCCATAGCAGCATCACTATTTATTTAGAAACCAATCACAACCTTTATCCACTGAGGGAATATCACCATCATCTATCCATAATTCAATTATAACCCAAATTGCTTTGTTTTGCTTTTAACTTCTTTTGGACCCTTTCTCATGTCATTGGTGGCCACTTCCCTCCTACCACATCAGAGATCTCATTAGTCACATCAAAGACCCAATCGGAAAATATTACTACTTTAACTTCACAAATCAGAAGATATCTCTATAATATTATTTGAGAAGTCAGTTTTCTATGTGTCGCGCTCACGTTAACTCTTGCGATGGTTTATTACATATATACCCTTAATGAATTGTTAGATTTTAAGATTATTATTAATTTTTTTATTTAGTTTCTATTACCTTTTTCCAAATAACATATATAATAAAAAAGAAATATTTCTAAAATTTTAAAACAAATTTAAAAACGAAATTATATGTACATAATATGACTCTATTAAAAAGAAAAGTTCACAAAATAGTAATACTCCCATTAATATATATTATTAAATAACATAAAATATATTTTCAAAATAATTAAAATATATATGTTCATGAACTTCCAAAAATTTATCAGTTACACTTTATTTTCTAATATTTTTTAGAAATCAACATATAATTTAATAAATATTATGAAAATACATGCATTTTTAAGCGATAAATAAATATAATTTGATTTTACTTAACTAAAATAAAGAGTAAATAAATATTATGAATATACATGTATATTTACGTGATAAATAAAACTAATTTGATTTGACTTAACTAAAATAAAAAGTAGTTATACTTCCACTTTAATTTAAAAATATATTGAACTCAATATACTCACAAAATGAATGACTCCACTAATCTAATTTATATCCAAAATTAAACATCTAACTACAATAAGAACATATAATTTTATAATAATAATAATAACATATTTAATTTTATACATATAAATTAGAAGTTGACTCAAAGTATATTAAAAGAAAAAGAAAATATTAACCAATTACAATTTAATTATTTTGTAGAATTTATATATATGCATGAGATTTCAAAATATTATCATTATATTCATTTATGTGATTTTGAATCAAATAATTCAGCTTATTATTTATTTCATTTTAAGGACAATATATATTAAGTTATACATAATTTAACTATACTATATTTACATATCTAAGAATATATTTACATATCTAAGACAATAACCAACCGAAATGAAAATAAGAAAATTAGTAAAAGTTTTATTATATTTAGAGTAAAAAATATTATAGCTGGACTCAAAAAATAGATATCATCCAATATACCAAATTGATAACCAAATCGACTATTGATACAAAAAATAATTAAACCAACAATAATATATCCAAAGTCATATGTATAAATAGAATAATTTAATAAATAAACTGATTCAAAAATAAAACTAAATATCAATCAGTTATTATAAAATTTTACTTTTATGAATATTCATATCCGTGCATGAGCACGGGAAAATCACCTAGTACAAAACAATTACAATCTCAGCATTCAAGATTTCGTTATCTTATTTTAAAAATGTATTTTTTGTGTATTTTTAAGTAAAGGAAAAGTTGCAACTTTAGGACTAATCTCGATAATGGAAAAAAAAAACAAAGTGTGAGCTAAAAATCGGCAAATGGGTTTTTTTTTTTGGACCAACGACTAGTCTCCTCCTGCTCAGTTTAAATTATAAACTACTTGAGACAGAACCTGATGCTTTAGAATGTTCCAAGTACATATGATAAAATACGTATTTGTCGCCAAAACATAATTAAAAGAAAGATGTAAAAAAGTATTAAAAGAAATTTAAATTACAACAGTAAATAAAAGGGAGGTCAGATAAAGAAAAAGATCATCCCTTATGAATAAATTAGAAATGTTTTAAAATAATTACAGGAACTATATCAAACCAAAGTGGGTCTTTTTGAATCATTGCATTGAGGCTTAAGATCTGTGGATGAACCAAACAAGGTGGGGAAAAGCATTAAGCAAGTATAACTAGCATAAACAATCAATCACACCCACAATAATAATTGCTATGGTGAGTCTTAAACTTGACAAAGAAATATCGAATCTCTAATTTCTACAGTACATACTTAGAAGGGTATATTGTCTACAGAGTTCTTCAATAACTTCTTGGGTTCATCCTATTTAGATTTCTTTAATTAATCTTCAGTAGATTCTATCCTAAAATACTACATGTTAACGCAGGCAAAACATGCTTTTAAGTCATGATAATTTTGGTATATCTATGTAGTTTTTTTGAGAAGACTAAAGATGAGATAGCAAAAGTAAACATGCAGTGCAGCCGATGTCTTCTTTAAAAAGTGAGCTATGAATCCTAAAGTGAAGGTGAGAAGATCTTAGAATAATGTAAAGAATCATTCTTAAAAGAGAAAATAGAAGAGGGTTGCTCTGCTGTACGTTTATTTTGCCAAAGTTTAATGCTTTTATATAAGAGCGAGTAGTTTGTTCCTGTAGCTGTAGCAGCGATTTGCATGGCCCACGGCTCTCGTCGGCTGTGCTCTTGCCGTTTAACAAACAAAATCACTTTCCTTAATAACAAAGGAATTATGACATAACTAGAATCCACAGCATAAAAGGGCGTAAACTTGAATGATTAGTATTGAACACATTGTCCCAAAAAAGTTAAAGGCATTGGTATGTTTCGAAAGTACAAATTGTGAAATCAAGTAAAAAGCCCTCGATGGGGGTGAATATATGTTTGAAACCAGATAAGAAAAAACCATTACACTTATAACTTAATTTTTTGTTCTACACTATTCCTCCATATAATTAGAAAGAAACACAACAATATATATATGCACAATAGATGATCAGAAATCTCTATGACCGATTATCTTGTTGCATCAGTTATAACAAAATAGAACTATTAGCACCATACTAAAGTGGGTTATAACCATATCCCTTGATTAGGGTAAGCAGTTTGTAGATGGTGACTACAGAGAATCTCACTAAACATGTTCTCTTTCGAGAGCCAAGTGTTCATGAAAGTATAATCTTATCAGTCCAACAGGACATGAAACCAGATTTGCCAATTTCCTAATCAAATTGGTATGGAAAAAGGATATATTAAGAGAAAAAAGCAAAGGACAAATGAAGAGTGATGTAGAGAAACACATGAAGAAAGATACTTAACTTCCCAGTGGTTTTCGTGTACTGAACTCTTTTGTAGAATCATTGTCAGATTGTTCCAATAACAGCCTTAATCTACTTAGATAAGTTAGATTTCCAAAGCAATGCTTTTTTAAGTGAATCTAAATTCCTCAGGGTCCCAGGGACCCACCGTGTGCTTTTACACTTTAAAGCTCCCCTCCAAATCCCAAGAAATGATAGTATATAAAAGGACCTATATCTACAGGGAACACACATGAAATTCAGATTGGATACAAATCTCATTCTCATTATCCCTAACCTTCTCTCGTTTCTTTGAAGACAAGAAAGATACTCTGTTTCTTCTTGTCATGCTGGGTTCCAGTACAAGGGTGACGCTTTTACTTCTTGTCTGCATAGGATTACTATCAGACAACATACATAAGGTCACAGCCTTGAGAGACAAAGAGTTTTTCCTCAGGCAGATACAAGGAGACAAAGATGGAGATCATCCATGTGAAGTTTCTAAGCTAAGGAGCATCCATAGGCACAACCGTGAAGATCAAGTAATGCTCAGTGGAAACCGGCGCTTTCTTGAGGAGGTTAACAAGAACAAAGTTAAACCTGGGAAGACACAAGAGCAAAAGAATAAGACAAAGAACTCCTTTCAGTCAAGCAAGAGACGGGTAAGACGCGGATCAGATCCTATCCACAACAAATCCGAGCCATTTTCTTGAGTGGCACAACAACAATCAACTGCAGAGAAAACCAATATACTATGGAAATGCAAGAAGCAGAAAAGAAAGGGAAGGAAAAAGACTCAACAATCAAGTATTGGTTTGATAAACACACAGAACATTTCGCTGTTGAAGCCATTGTTGGTATGCAGAACAGCATTGTCTGTGTATTATAGTTCGTCTAAGTTTCTCGATACGTTTTGTTCTTTTCTGCATTGCTTTGACTCCACCAAAAAATATTTTGTGTATATAAAATATCTCTAAAGTTTTGATTGTCTACTACTTCACTGTCACATTTGAACTTATAAGGTAACCAATTAACCATTCTATTTTTTTTAATAACAATACCGACTTATCTACCACTGAAAATGAAAAAAATCCAAGATAATTAATGTTTTCTAAGCAAACTTCTGGCTGCTGAAATGAGAGAGTGAGAGATTCCAACTTTATACAACCGAACTAGCTGAATTGGCCACGGCCATTGCAACCTCTTCGACGGTGTCTGCCTCGTCCTAGTCCATTCCATGTCTTGAAATTGTTTTGATGGTTTAGTTTGTCTTCCTCCTCTGCTCGTTTGTGGAGAAGCATCTTCATAAACCTACTCCCTTTGCTCTTCTGACTACTGATGCAAACCAGCGAGGACTTCGCGGGGAACTGCCAGCCACGACTATTCAGTCTAGGGATTAATCATTGTTTTGTTTACTTAATTTAGTTGTTAGGCCTTTGATCAAAAGAAAAAAATTTAGTTGTTAGGCCCGGTCCACCAAAATAAATTTGCTAGGCCTATTTCTTAAGATGTTTTGTTAATTGTAAAAGTTTATGCAGCTTAAGTGTTTATTTTATCTCGTTTGTTCCCTTAGTTCGTTCCAAGAAAATAGATAATTAAAACAAAATCACAAAAATAGATTTTTGTGTGTTTCTTTTGACGTCGATTTTTGTGTGCCTTTTATAAAGAAATGGTAGAATTAAAAAAAAATTGAGTTTATTGAATTAATAATGGCGTAAAGTTATTGAAAATGTAAAATTGTTCGCATATTATTAATTCCATTTTGCTTTACATTTACTCTAATTAGAATGAAATAAGCATTCCACAAATGTAAAAGGAATTTCCCGTTATAATTTTGCTGAGAAATAAATGAAATGGTTTTATTCCTTTTTATGTTATGTTCATCTTGTTCCACTCAATTTTTCTTGGTTAATATCAGTGTTTTCACGCCTGATCCGGATCCGCGGTCCGACCGTTAAACCTGGTAACCCGACAAGTAATTTAGTTTAGATTTTAAGAAATATTTACCAATTAAAAAGCTGATAAAACCACTAAAAACTTTTAAATTCGGTGATCCGGCTATCAGATAAATCATCGGGTGAACCGTTGAGTTATTTTATTTTATTTCTGTTAGGTTTTTAACTATTTATTATATATCCAAAATAAGAAGTGAAATTTTTTACTTTCCAATTTTTAGTTTTCACATAAAATTATTGTTTTCGTACTATCATATATATTCTATATCTCTTTCAAACTTTTATTATATTTTTTGTTGATTTCGTATGTGGTAAATAACATTTGATTTTAATTTTTAGGTTCTAAATTTTATCATATAAACTTTACTTTTATACCAATCACATGTTTTTATTTTGTTTTCTTGATTTTACATGTTTATTATAAATTGTGTTTTTGTTAATCAAATTTATTGATTTTATTTAATTTTGAAAAATCATATATAAATTGACTAAATCATTTATTGATTTTGATGAACATTGCATTGTGCCTTAAAAAAAATATATTGAATAATAATAAATATCTAAAATTTATGAGATTAAGTTTTATTATGATTTACTATATGTCTCAACTTGTAATTTCTTATAAAAAGTTGTTAAATACTCTAAGCTAACTTTAAATATTTTATATGTGACATAAAATAAAATTAAAGAGAACAAATTTAAATATTTTCTATGTTTTAAAAAAAACTGAAATTTCTCCTACATTTTTAATAGTTAATATATAATTATTTATTAAAATTAGTTCACGTATTGATCATTAATTGGTAAGGTGTTCGGTTCAGTGTCTAAGTCGGGTTTAAAACCATTGGTTATTATTCTTTCCTAGTTACCATTTACAGGTTTATGTAATCTATAAATACATCAGTTTCATGATTCAGTTCATGTTTTGTAATGAACGATGGTCCACGATTCCACGTTTTGTAGTGAATATATGTTTTCAAATCTGAATAAACTATTAAAAAAGAAGTTTAATCAATTTTTTTTTATATGAAGAAATAAATGAGAAAATCTGGTCAACTTTAGTTATTAATAAAAAAATAATTAAATACATTGGTTATTATTCTTTCCTAGTTACCATTTACAGGTTTATGTAATCTATAAATACATCAGTTTCATGATTCAGTTCAAGTTTTGTAATGAACGATGGTCCACGATTCCACGTTTTGTAGTGAATATATGTTTTCAAATCTGAATAAACTATTAAAAAAGAAGTTTAATCAATTAAATGAAGAAATAAATGAGAAAATCTGGTCAACTTTAAGTATTAATAAAACAATAAAATAATAATGATATGTACATGTAAAGAATCCAAATAATTAATAGCACAATCCTGTTAGAGCTTCTATTTTAATATAGATCTGAGAAATATATAACCTGTGGTTTGATAAGAAACTCGTCGTGAAAAGAAAAGAAAAAAGAAATTGAATATTAGAAAGAGTATTGAACATGAGTTCTTTCAGATTGATGGTTATTTTCACTCTCGTTGCTACGGCGTTCCTTTCGTGTGATCTTCTCAATGGTAAATGTTTTTCTTCTCGAAATATATCTTACACATACTATATACCTTTGTATCCCTGTCCAATTTTTCTTTTTTAATGATTTGGTAGTTGAGACGGGAATTTTTGTGCAAGCTGCGGCTCCGATATGTGGACAAGATTGTACTGAAAAATTCATAAATCAAGACTGCTATAAACATTGTATAGGATTGTCTTATAAAAACGGTGTTTGCGTTCAATCGGACGCTGTTCCTCCTAAAATTTCTACATATCGCTGTTGTTGTTTAAATTAAATATGCAATATATGTCCTCTCTTATCAAAAATGATGTTTCCTTTAAGTTATGGTGTTCTCTTTTTCAAGTGGAAAGATCAAATAAATGTGAACTTCCGTGAATGTCATTTGCGTATTTTATAACGATCTTGATTTAAAAATGCTAATGCGGTTGTTATATGCTGGAATACATTATCTTTCATGTATTTTAAATATGTAAATAATTATTTGATACCTCCATTTCTCCAATATTATTTTCGAGACCTCTTCAGATTGCCTCCATGACGCTGTTACAAATCCAACTGCTTACTCTAGTCACAGCCACATCCGTCACAGCATTTTCTGGCTTCTGACAAGAATTGATTCATGGAGTCTGGATCATTCACTTCCGGAACGTAATGCAGCTGCAACGACTATAGCTCTTAGTGTTACTCGGGATCGGCGTCATCAGTCATATATCGCTCGGAATGCTCCTTCGTGGCTACATCATCTGCTCGTCTTGGAGGCTCAGTAAGGAAGGGTGTGGGTAAATAGTTTATTTCCTTCTCCTTTCTTTCGTTTTGTCTTTTGATGGTGTCTACTGACATCTCAATTTCCTGTTATTAGTTTGTCTTTTTTGTTTTCCCTCGTACTTTGTTTTGATCTCAGTGTTATAAAAAAAAAAAATAATTATTTGATTGGTTAGTTTTTGAGCTTTTGTTACAGGACAGTTATTAGATCGCAGTATTGGAAAACCATGATGTATTTATAAATTACATATGGTTGGATATGGTTGATGTAATTTATAAATACATCATGGTTTACAAACATATTGTTGGATACGGAATATGGTGCTTCAAAAACTTAAAATAATTGGATACCACAAAAAGAAATTTATAAAGTAATTATTGTTGCTGATTAGAAGAGAATGACATCCAAACATAGTGGTGACCGAAAGCTTAACCTAAGAAAAATTGCAAAGGAGGGGAAGACCACATTGCGGCGACACTGTAATGACAAGAAGTGTGAAGAAGAGGTCGGTCAAGAGATAAGCGTCTTTAAGGTAGTGGTTAAGGAAATTAGACATTTTATTTGTATGATTTAAATTACAAATTGGAGTTTGGCAATTGTCACGGCGAATTCTCATTTGCTCCACTATTGCTAAGCATGAAGTCTTCATTCAAAACAAGTATCTAGCTAAGGGATTCCTAATTTCTACAAAAAGAGCACATTGACACAAGTCAAATACTTACGTTGAACACGTAAGGCCTTATTTAGAAGAAACCAAAGATCACTTTATAACGTATTTAGATTATTCGATTAACTGAAAATTAATAATGGCATTAAAACAACATTATACTTCCTCTGTTCCTAAAAGATCCATATTCTAGTTTTTGCACACTTTTTAATAAAACACAATAAATTTGCATAGTTTTTTGTATTTATCTTCTTTTTATAATTTTAAACCAATAAAAAATCAATTAATGCAATTAAGTTTTTTGAAATTTACAATTATTTAATAAAACATACATTGAAAATGTAAAAAATTAATCTTTTAGAAACAAATTGTTTTTTAGAATATGTATCTTTAAGGAACGGAGGAAGTATAAAACAAAAAATGCAAGACGTAAATAAGAAAATAGTCGCCAATTCATTTTATGGCCGTTGAAAACCAAAAACCAAAAATAAAACAAGCTAGAAAAGGTTAAAACGAAGCAGATAGAAATGTAGGGCTCAGACAGAGGAATTTACTAAAACATGGGTCTCTGACGTGAACTTTCAAAATAAAACTGCAGGGCAGCTGGAATTGTCCTCTAGTACGATGCATGTAATGGGCATTGGCCACGTATACGCTTTGGACTAAGTCCTTCCCTCTCCGTCGAATATATTCCTTTCTATTTTTCTTTATATAATAATAAATACTATTGCTAGCTTTATCAATTTCTTCATCTCCACCAACAAGTTACCCACTGGTGAAAAGGTGAAAACCCATAACTTACAAAATGTCTTGTAAAATCATTGAGGAAAAGCTTGTGATACGACCCATTATTTTATTATATCATGTAGTCTATAACGTATGAATATACATCAAGTCACTAAAATACTCTTTTTATCAACTGGATATTTCATTACTAAATATAAGCTAAAATACACACAAAAAAACTAAAAATGTGTTGTAGGTTTTCATTTGATATACACTGTTTTCCTTTTTTTTTCTGTGTGTGTTTTGAACGTTTGTAGGTAAGTACTTATTACTACATTTTTAAAGTCCTAATTATATTTCATCACTACCATGTTCTTTACCGATATAATTACATCATCGTCACATGCACTTACTTAAATTTCAATTTAAAATATATAAAAAAATAATAAAATAAAACCCACAAAACCTAATCTCCTCTTTAACTACGTTAATCAGATGAGAGTAAACACACTATAAAGAGAGAAGTAAAGTAAAGCTATGGATTTGTCTTCAAAACACAAACAAACATTATTACCAAACTCTCCCGTCGCCGGAACACTAACCCTCGCCGAAGAAATGGGTGTCTGTTACAAAGAGTGTCTGAAAAACCACGCGGCTAACCTCGGCGGCCACGCGCTCGACGGCTGCGGCGAGTTTATGCCAACACCAACCGCAACTCCCACCGATCCTTCCTCTCTCCGCTGCGCCGCTTGCGGCTGCCACCGTAATTTCCACCGCCGTGACCCTTCCGACCATCTCAACTTCCTCCCTTCTCACCCCACCTCCTCTCCCTCCGGCACCGAATCGCCGCCGTCTCAGTCGCTTCACCACGTGGCCTCCCCTGTTCCCTGCTCTTACTACACTTCAGCTCCACACCACATGCTTCTCTCCCTCAGCTCCGGCTTCCCTGGACCCTTAGATCAAGATCCGACGGCGGTGAGATCGGAGCACAACTCAAAGGGAGGAATGAGGAAACGGACGAGGACCAAGTTCACGCCGGAGCAGAAGACGAAGATGAGAGGTTTCGCGGAGAAAGCAGGTTGGAAAATCAACGGCTGTGATGAGAAGTTGGTGAGAGAGTTCTGTAGCGAGAATGGGATCGAGAGAGGAGTTCTTAAAGTTTGGATGCATAATAATAAGTATTCACTTCTCAACGGGAAGAACAGAGAGATCTTGTCTGTGGAGGATCATCCTCGTCTTTGTCTGAACACTCAGAGCTGTAATAATGGTGGTGAAGACGGAGACAACGTTGGTGGGTCATCGTCTTCTTAACGCTAATTACCATACTTAAATTCGGGGAATATTAAAGTTATGGGCATTAACCGTTTAAATCTTATAATAGTAAGTTCTAACGTGTAATCGATCATCGATATATATGCACTTTTTAAATATTATTGAAGTTGTTTGGTTGACAGAGGTGTTCAGAGATCATAATGGGTTTTGTAATAAAAGAAGGTTAAACTAGAAATGCAAACCATTCTAATTATAGTAAGTGCAAAATTCTCCAGTAATGATCGAGGAAATCAAAAGATTCGTTTATTTGTTTTCTATATTGAAAAAAACTTTCGCCACTATTATTCAATGTTATCTTCTGTATAATTGGAAATAATCGTTGACAAGAAAAAGAAAAATTGGAAATAATCTCCTGAGCTTTATAAGATAAAGTAAGTAGAGTTTGCTTACTTATGAGATACGACGTGGTTATTAAGATGGCAACAAACTATGGCGTGGCCGAATATAATTAGGTCATCCGGGCGGCACATTTGTTGAGTTATTAGTAGTATATTAATAAAGTTATAAAAATGCGTGCTTATCTCGCCTTTCCATTTAAGGATAAGCTTCGGGCTACAGGAATCTCGTTTACTTATCCTAATTAAGAATAATACAAACGTTGCGATTATTAATAATATCTGCACTATACAAATGTCTGGCTCTCCCTGCGCCACTGATCCGCTTATCCAATGATATTAAATATAGTTTATTTTACTCTTTTTATTAGATTTTTGTTATATTTCCAATATTTTGGATTAACATTTTTGTATGTATTTACGAATCAGAGTGCGTATAATAATAAGTCTGTGCTCAACGCCAAAGTTAAAGTATTCACGCATAAAGGACGAAGCTGAGTCTGAAGAAAGACAGTCCAGTACGATCGTTGCCAGAGAGACCAATGCATCTTTTGAGGTAAGTCACTGCATGTATTTGTAATGATATTTAGTCTATAGTACATTCGTGACAATGCATATTTACGGATAAAATAAGATGCAGTGATTAATTAGTGGGAAATAGTCATTGTTGAATACGGATCTGGTACGCAACGCAAGCATATCGTCGTATGGGTAACGAATGAAGGTGGACTTAACCCATATCCATAGGCAGAGCGAGTCTTCTAACTATTCTTCTTTTAACGATAAAGGTTCCAACTAATTATCCTTAGAAATTGACAAAATAAATAATTTAATTTGGCAAACTAAAACAAATGCAAGATGGCCAAGTCAATCAATCTTTTATTTGACATAACATAACCAACTCTATGTATTTTATTAAGAGTTTTAGCAATTACGAATTTTTATATACTATTTTAATTATTCAAGTTACACACCGAGTTGCATCACCAACAAGATTAGTTGCCGAGTGATTAAGCATGAAAAAACTTGGACTTATTACTGGACAGCCCGAGTCAAATATGGGCCTATTAATAAGATATCATATAAGCCCAACAAGCGTGTATTACAATCCGATTAAATCTAGTCCGTTGATTGTCATATTCCAAGATATGATCTGGACCGTCCAAAATAGGGCAATAGAGAAGGAGGAAATGCTTTAAATAGATATAGTAGAGCTACGCAGCCTCTTCTCTTGCTCCGTGAAGCTGAGGAGATAAAAACCATAAAAGGAGAAAAAGGAAGAGGAGTGAAAAATGGTGCAGCGTCTTGTATACCGTTCGCGTCACAGCTACGCCACCAAATCTAACCAGCACAGGATCCTCAAAACCCCAGGTTCTGTTTCTCAAAACCTACTCTACTCTCCATCGATCTATAGAGTTTTGTGTGTGGTAATGTATTGACATAATTTTGAATGGTTTTGGTTTTGTTGCAGGTGGTAAATTGACATTTCAGACCACTAAGAAGCGTGCAAGTGGACCTAAATGCCCCGTTACCGGCAAGCGTATTCAGGGTGTAAGTCTACTCTCATTTTGGTTTTGTACTGAGTCTTGTATTTATTTGCTGTGTTTGGTTTTAGATGTGGTAATGATTATTATTAGATTCTTGGAGCTGATTGATTGAGTTGATGTTGTTGTTGTTTTATAGATCAATGCAAATGTAGTAGTTGTCTAGGTTATGTTTTGTCCGTGCTTATTGACGGTCTTGTGCTGGTTAGATGAATCCAACACCAGGACATAACTTTATCATAAGCTACATTTAGTGCCTGCCTTGTCTTTTCAAAGTTTTCTCCTTTTTCTATATAAGGGCATAACTGTTTTACTTGGTGGCAGAAATCTCTATCATTTTCTAAATTGTTACATGTCTAATTTGTTCTAATTCTTGGTAATTTCAATTGAATCTAATTTCATGTCTTTTGTTTCTTTAGATCCCCCACTTGAGGCCTGCTGAGTACAAGAGGTCTCGATTATCCAGAAACAGGAGGACCGTGAACCGTGCTTATGGTGGTGTTTTGTCTGCTTTGGCTGTTAGGGAGAGGTTAGTTATTTAATTTGTTTCTATAACAGGTTTATCTCTTAAGTTTACACATCAAATATTGATTGTTGTGCTCTTTATTGGTTTTGTATTAACAGAATCGTCCGAGCTTTCCTTGTGGAGGAGCAAAAGATTGTGAAGAAGGTTTTGAAGCTCCAAAAGGCTAAGGAAAAGGTTGCTCCCAAGAGCTAGATATTCTATTTTCACTTTTTATTATTATAAAATGTTGTGGCTTTGTTTCTAGCAGTTACTGGTTGCAGAATTTGAGAGAAACATTATGTATTCTTCCCAGTTCTCAAGCTTTTTTTTTTGCAAGTCGTTTTGGTCTCGACTCTGTCTACATTCGCAAATCTTGTGTTATTTACTTTCTCTTTTAAATGATTTTTCCACATTTCATTGTTTTTAATCTTATGAAAGCTTACTTGTTTGTAACATAGTGATCGATGTGATTTCTTTTACTCGATTAAATATCGTTCGTTGGAAATGTACCGTTCAAGCCATATATTGGTGGTCTACATACACAGTTTCACTTGCTATGGAATTGAACCAGTCGGTTTTTAATGTAGTTTGCTTTATTTAATTTGTTTTTGGGTTTGGTAATTAAAATATTTCCATCAATAACCGATGATGTTTTGGGGTTTTAAATCTGTTCTAGTTTTTTAAATAATTTTGGATAATTAGATAAAAACAGACTTTTAGAATAAAACATACGCTGATACCAAAAATTTAAATATTTTGGATACAAAAAATTTCGAATAATTCTTTTTTTTTGGTAATTCAAATAATTTTAAATATTTCAGAAATTTTTGTTTAAACGTAATATTTTTTATTTTAATTTCTTAACTTGTTTTCTGATTACTTACAAGTATCGATTTAAGTATTTAAGAAAATAGAAAATATGAGATAACCGACTCAATCATGCTATAAAAGAGAAAAGTTAGGATTTCAAAAAAAAAAAAGAAAAAGAAAAAACGAAGAGCGAAGTTAGGGTTTTTGCATAGCGGTCATCTCGTTAGCTAGCCATGTGGAGCAAAGCGAAAGCCATAAAATTCTCTCGAGGAGAAACGTCGAGCAGCCACCGGAATAGGCAAAGAGTTGCCTCCCTTGTTGAAGATGAAGCAGAGCCCGTTGAAGAAGCTGGTGATTGCGGCGAGAGTTGTGGAGAAGGATTAGGAACCGCGGCGACCGGTGGTGAGGTTGGTGAAACGGAGGTACCACCAGGGATGCTGTTCGATCTGGATCTTCTCGATTGTCCCGTTTGCTGCCACGCACTGACAAACCCTATCTTTCAGGTCTTTGTTTCTTCTTACTTCTTCCTTGTTTGTAAAGGCAGTAGCATCTTTCATAACAGAACATCACTCGTATAACCTCTATAAATTAATACTCCATAAATTTCTTAATTTGGTCACACAAATGATAAATTAATAAGATAATAATATTTTAAAAACTACCATGTAAATATATAGTCCTATTAAAAAATATAGATTAATAATTTGTCTATAAATTATTTTATATAAGTACAATATAACATTATATTGTTGGTTTATATTTTTAATTTTTTTTGGGGAATATCAGTGTGACAATGGACACATAGCTTGCTCTTGTTGCTGTATTATCCTGAGGAACAAATGCCATTCCTGCACTTTGCCTATTGGTGTCTATCGAAACAGAATGATGGAGAGAGTTGTGGAAGCAGTCATGGTCCCATGCCCTAACGCAAAACATGGCTGCACCGAGAAGTTCTCTTATGGCAAAGAGTTAGTCCATGTGAAGCAATGCAGTTTTGCTCTATGCTACTGTCCTGCACCAGGCTGCAACTATGCCGGCCTGTGCAACGATCTCTACCGTCACTACTATGCTAACAACTGTCGCCCACGGGAATGTTACAGGTCTGGCAGTAACGTGGCCGCATGGATGCGCATCAGTGACAAGATTTTCGTTCTTCAGGAATATAAGGGTCCATTGGTTGTGATTCAATGTTTCGAGGAGGAACAAGGAGTGTATGTGACTGTGAACTGTATAGCACCTTGTGCTCCTGGAGTCTCGGAGTTTTCCTTTCAAATCTCTTACTCGTCTTACTTTGGTGAAAAAACCATGTCGTTTGGATTGCGTGAGATGAATAGGATTCAGAAAGTGAGCTTCGAAACTCCTGAGAAGGACTTCATGTTTGTTCCTCACTATTTCATGGCAGGGCGGCCTGATTTGAAGTTGAAAATTTGCATCCACAAGAGAGGGGAATAACAAGGAAAGAAAACATGATGAGGAGACTGAACTATGCGGATAAATGTTGGGTTATATCCGTTTAAATGATGTGTTCCCACTTCAATGTTTCAACACTTATCGACTTAAATGCTTATTTGTTAGTTACACTTGAATATAACTCGGTTAATATTTTCCTGGTCTACTTACTCTGCAGTAATCACTTTCTTGTTGGTTGACTACTCAATTCGCTTAATACACAAAAGGATTATTTAATATTTATTTAACTGCTAAAATTAGGAGAACAAAAAGGTGTTTTTAACGAAATGGCAGAATCGTAAAAATGAGTCAACGGCTCAACAGTTCTACTGACTACCGAGAGATTCGACGATAAAAAGAGGAGTTAGTGGTTTTTAGTTTTTACACATAGAATCGAATCGGTCATTTCAATAGCCATGTCGAACGCCGATCAAGTCTTCAGTGGAGGAGCGTCGAGCAGCTACTCCGTTGTTGGAGAAGAAACGGCCAGTGAAGCGGGTGATGATGAGGTTACAGTAACAGAGGAGGAGGAGGTAGTACGATCAGGAACGCTGTTGGAACTGGATCTTCTCGATTGTCCCGTTTGCTGCCACGCACTCACAAGCCCTATTTTTCAGGTCTTTGTTGTCTGATCCTTTCTTCCTCGTTAAATTAATCTTAAAAATCCATGATTAAGATTTTTTTTTTTTTTAAAGAACTTGGGAGTATTCAAATTAGGTCTGAAAACATGGTCTCATATCCGCGTGGTCACATAGGTGTAACATAAGTGGGTTGATTCGAATCCGGTTGCTTAGCAATCCAAAAAACCCTCAATCATTAGGAAGATGTTAATAGGATGAAAGGAACCATTTTTCATTACACAACATCACTCAAAGTGTACATATCAATGATATCATGTTTTATTACAGAACATTTTTTTACTTTTTACAAAATCTTACAACTTATGTAATATGATAAGAACTCTCTCTGTGTCGTTTTTTTCGCTATCTCAGTGTGACATGTTGGTCTATCTTTAAATGCATCATTTAGGGAGATGTTAATAGGATTAAAGGAAACATCTTTCATTACAGAACATCACTGAAAGTGTACATATCAATGATATCATGTTTTATTACAGAACATTTTTTTATTTATATTTTTTACAAAATCTTACACCTTTGCTATTGATAAGAACTCTCTCTCTGTCGTTTTTTTTTTCGCTATCTCAGCGTGACATGTTGGTTTATCTTTAAATGCATCTGTTTTTTTTTTGCACTAGGGAGATGTTAATAGGATTAAAGGAAGCATCTTTCATTACAGAACATAACTAAAATGTACCACTGACACGTAAAGAGCATTTTCTTGTCACTCGAAGAATCATATAATGTATTGATTGTCCTTTGCAAAAGAAAAAGATATGAATTACCAGTTTGGATTTGTATCAGTTTGCTTTTTAGGATTTGTAATCTGATTACTTCTGTGGCTTCTTTTACAATCTCAGTGTGACAATGGACACATAGCTTGCTCTTCTTGCTGTACTAACCTGAGGAACAGATGCCCTTCTTGCGCTTTGCCCATTGGTGTCTATCGAAACAGAATGATGGAGAGACTTGTGGAAGCAATCATTGTCCAATGCCCTAACGCAAAACACGGCTGCACCGACAAGTTCTCTTATGGCAAAGAGTTAATCCATGAGAAGGAATGCAGTTTTGCTCTATGCTACTGTCCTGCACCAGGCTGCAACTTCTCCGACCTGTGCAACGATCTCTACCTTCACTACTATGATAGACACCGTGGCTCAGGGGAATATTTCAGGTGTGGCTATGATGGGCAGGCATGGATGCACATCAGTGATAAGATTTTAGTGCTTCAGGAAGGTAGAGATGGTCCATTGGTTGCGATTCAATGTTTTGAGGAGGAACAAGGAGTGTATGTGACTGTGAATTGTATAACACCTTGTGCTCCTGGTGTGTCAGAATTCTCCTTTCAACTCACTTACTCGGCGTACGGAGCTCCTGATAGAACCATGTCGTTTGGATTGAGTGAGATGAATAGGATTCAGAAAGTGAGCTTCCAAACTCCTGAGAAGGACTTCATGTTTGTTCCTCGCTATTTCTTGAATGGGCAGACTAATTTGAAGATGAATATTTGCATCCGCCGACGAGGAGAAGAACAATAAATGGAAACATGATGTTATTGACAAAGTTCTCAGATCAACTAGCTAGAGGAAGGACTAAAGTTTTTATCAAAGTTGTATCTGATTATGGTAAATGTTTTCATTTTCATAGGAGAAGATAAAAAGGAGGAAACGAGGAAGGTGCATATGCTTGTATGAAGTTTAATATGCTTATGGATTTTGTAAAACATTTCAAGTTATGTTAAATATGAATTTTAGTATGTTAAACGAACTAAATATTTGTTTCACTGTTGGACTTGTTCGAAATTTAGCTATTAAGGGAATCAGTTTTAATATCAATGGGCTTTGTATGGTCTTTAGTCAGTTTCTTGTCAATTGCGTAAGTGGAATGGATCTGATGATGACATGTTTAGCAAAAATGACGAGATGTCTTCGTTGTTGTTGATGGCCTTTGGAAGCTGCTGAGATGGTTGTGTTTCTTGTGAGGCAAGCAAGAGGTTATAAAAGTTGTCAATGTTACAAGTGGTCTATGCAGTTATTAATCACGTTCCTGATTGTTCTTGGTTTTTGCATACACTAGTATTTATTTTTGCTCGAAAAAGCCAAACTCAATTTTCAAGGAGAAAAGAATGTTTGAACGGAATGGTTAGAATCGTAAATATGAGATAACCACTCACCTTCTACTACTGAGATCCGACTATAAAATAGCAAAAGGCAGTTTGGGTTTGACATATCTATCATATTGATAGCGATGTTGAGAGGTACGAACTCCGAGCAAGTACTCGACGGAGAAGTATCGAGCAGCCACCCGGAAATGCAACGACTTTCCTCCCTTGTTGAAGATGATGAAGCAGAGCCCGTTGAAGAAGTACGATCGGGGACGCTGTTGGATCTCGATCTTCTCGACTGTCCTGTTTGTTGCCATGCACTGACAAACCCTATCTTTCAGGTCTTTGTTTCTTTTTATCCTTCATTGTCTGCGTTACAACTAGTGCTTGTTTATCCTAACTCCATGATTTTGCATTAGGAAGATGTTGATTGGATTAAATAAAGCATAGTTTATTTCAGAACATTACTGAAAATGTACATACATATGCATAGAGAACACTTCTTTTCTAGAATCGTTACAACTTTTGTATTGATAATATCTCTCTGTGTCGCTTTTATTTTTGTTTGGTAATATCAGTGTGACAATGGACATATAGCTTGTTCTTCTTGCTGTGTTAGCCTGAGGAACAAATGCCCTTCCTGCGCTTTGCCCATTGGTGTCTATAGAAACAGACTCGCGGAGAAAATTTTGGAAGCAGTCAATGTCCCATGCCCTAACGTAAAACATGGCTGCACCAACAAGTTCTCTTACGGCAAAGAGTTGGCACATGAGAAGGAATGCAGTTTCGCTCTATGCTACTGTCCTGAACCAGACTGCAACTACTCTGGCCTGTGCAACAATCTCTATAGTCACTACTATGTTAACCACAGTGGTTCACGGTTAAGTTTCACGTGTGGCTACAACAGGAGCGCATGGATGCACATCAGTGATAAGATTTTATTTCTTCAGGAACGTAGAGAGGGTCCATTGGTTGCGGTTCAGTGTTTCGAGGAGGAACAAGGAGTGTATGTGACTGTGAACTGTATAGCACCTTGTGCTCCTGGAGTCTCGGAGTTCTCCTTTGAACTCTTTTACTCGTCTTACTTTGGTGAAAAAACCATGTCGTTTGGATTGCGTGAGATGAATAGGATTCAGAAAGTGAGCTTCGAAACTCCTGAGAAGGACTTCATGTTTGTTCCTCACTATTTCATGGCCGGGCGGCCTGATTTGAAGATGCATATTTGCATCCGCAGGCGAGGAGAAGAACAAGAAAAGAAAACATGATGAGGAGGAGAGTACTGAAGTTGTTGACAAATTTAGGTAGTAGTATTTGTGTTTATCATCTAAATAATTGCTTCATTGTATGACTTTTTTTTTTTTTTTTTTTGTGCTACTCTTCATTGTATGACTTGTTCTGAATTTTGCTATATTTTATTCTGTTTTAAATTTATTTGGTCTCGCTGTGGTCTCTAAGCTAGTTTATATTGTCCATTGCGCTGTGAGCGGAAAACGAAGTGAACCTCAACTTTGTAAAGGGGCATACAAAAGCAAACACACTAACTTAAAAGAAACATTTCAAGAAAAGCAAGAGGCACTGAAGCAAGAGAGAATCTTGGGCCTCTGCTGATACAACAACCCAACTAACTGGAAAAACAAGTAGGCAAATCGTTATTAATAGAGGGAAACGAGGAATAGTAACTCTCCATCAACATGTGATGCCTCTGATTTTGATCTCCAACAATAGTTGAAGATAAGTCACAAAACTTTAATTTGTGATGATGGTCTTGATTTGCACTACCATTGGTTTCTTCAAAACCGATATCTTGGTACTCTTGCGGCAGATTAACAAGAGCAGGACACTGCTCCTGGTCCAATATTGCAGTGGTGAGATCGATATTTGAGCCTACATGGTTTGTGTATCCTCCCAAAAATGATGCGTCTGGTGATGACATGTTCAGCAAAAACGATGAGATATCGTTGTTGTTGATGAACTTTGGAGATGGTTGTGTTTCTTGTGAGGCAAGCAAGAGGCTTCTTAGGTACTGATCGTCTACACAAGGACCATGACTGCCTGAGGAAGCGTAATCCATGTAAGAGAAGGGAGTAGTAGTTGTACAAGTACTAGTCTTGGTAGCTTCTTTCTCATCATAATATAAACGTGGTCTGGTTACATTCATATTTTTCTTGTAAAAGTCTAAGGAAACACTATTTTCTGGAGAAATGTGGGCTGTGTTTGATGGTGTTTCGTAGGGCTCTGTAACGGTGCTTGTCTCTGTTGGTGAAGATGAAACAAAGGAGTGAGAGGTAGCTTTAAGAGTCGTTGTGTTTGTTTTCCTAAATATTCTGCATATAGCCCATGAATCCTGTAAATGCCACATAACATTAGACTAATCAGTAATAAACCAAATAAACAATTGACAAGATAATAAAAAAAATATATCTGTTTAAGTGAACAAAAAAAAGACTTAGATATGAGTGAAAAAAATTCAAGTAAAAGGTGTTGTCAAGTGGAATATATTTTGTTCAACAACTATACGTAAAAGCTTATTTCTTAATCTGTAAGCACATACGCCACCATGTTATTTTTAAACGAATTCATTGATTTACCTTTAATCGCATTTTCTCCAACACATTATAAGTGAACAGTACTCTTGCATTTAAACGTCTATCAATATGGGCATAAGCTATAATAACGAGAAACAAATTGCTTACGTTGGGAGATATATGAGTATCCGAAAGGGTATGTAGCGTTGATGAAGTAGGCAAGCGAAACTCATGCATCATCCAATCTGTCTTGACTCCTTTAGCAGCTCTTCCTTTGTAAAACACAAGTGACTTCCTCAGACCAATGCATTTGCTTCCGTCCGATGAGTATATCGGCCTGTCCGTTCCCGTGGCTTTCCAGAATCCAGCACTGGTCACACGGTTCGGCCTCATGCTGTTCCTATACTTTCTATCTCTTGGACAGTAGAAGTACCATTCTTTCTCACCCGTCATCGCAAACTCTACGTTACATATATATTAGTTTTATTAGGGCTTCGAAAAGGAGACGGAGATAGTACAAGTAACACTATAGAAAGTCTAGTTTAATGTTGTTGGCCATGGTTGATGTTCTTAACGACAACAATATTTGATTTTTCAAAGATTCAGAGATTAGTATATGTTTCTGTTTAAGATTTTGCGGTTATAATTAAGAAAAAATAAAAGAGGTATAAGAGATTGTACTTGGAAGATCCCACGGGTCATATTTGTAGATGTCTAGCTGTGTGATGAGCTTAATGGAGAGTGGACGATGCTCAACCTTCCGTTTTAGATAGAAACTCACGAGCTCTTCGTCCGTTGGATGAAACCTAAATCCTGGCAACAACACATCTTCCATTTTCTTAGCTTCTCCGTTGTTCTCTCCCATGATATAGTATTAGTAATTAAAAGTTTTGAAAGTGTTTAAACTCCTTGTCTAACTAAAAAACGTATTAAAAACTTAAAGAGAGATTAGGTTACAAGACTAATAAGAAAGTTTTAACCCAAATGGAAAAGAGAGAGAGCGAGTTGGTAAGAGTGAAGTTTCTTTGCTTAATTTGAACACAATATATGCTGCCTTGTGAGGGGTCTGACCCCGTAGGATCAGCCGCCTTTTCTGCTGATTTCCATAAAATAAATAATATGGTGAGAGAAACTTTGTTTGAAAACAAAAGTGTAAAGTCCATGCATTTAGAGGCATCTCTAGAAAATTTGGAGTGTATTGGGATATTCATCACATAATAATTTAAATTGTGTGGACTGGTTTAAGTCTTTGTTTATCGATATTATATGGTAAGAGTAATTGCATTTGCTACAAAAAAAAATACGGTTTTCATTATCGAATATTCATGCATAAAAGTACTTATTTTCCAGAAGTTAACTAGCTAGACTTGGTATCTAGTATGTGTTGTCATAATTAAACTTTTCCATACAAATATTTTATATTGATTATTATGTTAATCGTATTAAGTGCATGTCTTGATTTGATGCCTGTATCTGATTTCAAAACCACATCGTCTGCATGATATGCGCTTATGTGTTCGTCACCAGGGTCGTCTCAAACTATCCAAGGATTTTGTCTTTGTGTACGTTCTATACTAATTGTGTTTAGCTAATTCTAAGAAAGTAATAAGTGAATATTATACATATATATGTAGTTACTTGAACCGAAATCACGTTTGAATGTTCCAGTTACACACGCTAAAAGAACATATATGGACGTGTATGGTGGTGGTGGATCTACCGTTTTCTGTATATTGTAGTATCTAGCTTGTCGTGTGTATCATCTATATGTATATGTGAAAGACACATAACCAAAACTGTAATAAAGATTTGCGTTATGTCTCTTTTGTTTGAACTTTGAAGTGTACCGAGGCGAACCAAAAGATTCTCAATAAGAAATATAATATTGGTGGTCAAATGGACTGAGGTTAGAACGCTTATGATGAAATTTCTAATTGCATAGATAATAAAATGGTTAATTACTAAAAAATCTGAAAATCTATGAACGTTTCTATTCTATTCCGCTAACAGCTTCTATTCCCACTGACCTCTGTCAGGAAATGCCACAATTACGTTGTGTTTAAAAAGACAAAGCCAACGTGTAACTGAGTTTACCCTTTTGTGAAATGGCACAAGTTGTTTACAGTTTTACCCTTTTGTGATTTGATCAGATGTCAAAGATCTTTCCTGCATTTGACATTTTGATAAACTCATTATTGAATAGTCAAATGCGGGGAAAAAATCTTATGTTTGACGTGTGAACGATTGTCTTTTCTTATTCTAAATAGCACTTTGAACGGCAAGTCGCTTTTAAGGTTTACGGTTGTCATGCTTCAACAATTTTATACTGCTTAAGACCATGTTTATTGCAGGTCTCTTAAGTTGGGTCCCTTAGCGTACGGTCCCTTAACTTTTAACTAAAAACGCTAAGGGACGTCCCTTAAATCCCTTATATAAGGAACGTCTCTTAGCGTTTTCAGTTAAAAGCTAAGGGACTGTACGCTAAGATATCGAACTTAAGGGACCTGCAATAATCATGCTCTAAGTAGCTCAATATGGCTAAACGTTGAATAAGACTGACGATAACACTTGTTCTTCCCGGAGACCACTTGAGCGTGTTCTTAGGGCATGATTATTGCAAGTTTCTTTTGATTGTTTCTTAATACACATATATGTGTATGTATATATTATATATGCGTATATACATACATATATATATGTATTAAGAAACAATCACAAGAAACTTACAATAGAATGTGGTCGAAGAGAAAAGTCTTTCACCAAATATTTGTAAAAATCCAGGTTGTTTCGCTTTCTAAAATCAAATCAATTACCCTATTAGTTCTAAGAAATCAGCTGCTCTACGCTCATTAAAAGTCAGAGCCGGTCCAAAGACCAAGCGTCTCAAGCAGTCGCTTATGACATCCAATTTTAAAAGAGATTATTTTATAGAAAACTTTGTATATAAAGAATTTTTGTTAGTTTATATGTAAACATAATTTATAATTTTAATAATGATATTTGTAAGGAAATTTAGCATTATTATAAAAAAAATTATTAATAAATTTCTTGAATAAGTATATAGCAAATAATTGAATCTTTAGTTAAGATTTCGCATTATAAATGATTAGTAAAATTCTGATGAATGTAGTCTAATGTTTATGCTAATATTTAAAAGTATTATTATATAGTTAATTTTATCAAATTACTTTCACTTCTCATTAATGAAATTAAACGGATGAAAAGGTTATGGTTGTATGGTTTCATTGTAAATGACTTTTTTTTTAGTTGGTTTATGTTTTATTAGTTTTCAGACAAATGAGGAATTGAGTGTGAATATGTTTTTTGAAGTGGATAAATTAAAAATTTTGAAACACTTTGTGAATTTTTAATTTAACTTATAACTAAATACATATATAATGTTAAATAAAAACATAAAAATACATTTTAAATTTTTGCTTCCGACACTGTTAAAAGTCCAGCAAAACCGACATTATCCACAACCAACAAAGTATGTATAATACGTACAAGTAATTTATATAAAACTTAGGCATGTACTTATTAATTAAAACTAATTAGAAGTTAATGAATTGGTCATAATTTTTCATTTTATTATTTCTACTAGTGTGAGATTTTGTTCATTATTACGTCATGGATGAACATCTAAAAGTAAAAAAAAAAAAAATAATAATAAAAAATAAACATCTAAAAGTTAGAACCTAAGAATCATGGTTTAAAATCAATTAGTATTAAGTATATTG